CTCTATGGTCCTGCCTCTGATTTTCTCCTGCCACACAAACCTGGTTTTTCTTAAGTTTGTGAAAGTTCCTCAGTGGAGGTAGGTTGATCACCACCATAGGGAGCCCCTTCCCATTTTGGTTTCTCTTTCATCCCAACAGCCTGGCCAGCCAGAGCCCATCCAGGCTGCTTAATCATTCAGTTGGCTTGAACGAGATGGGAATCACCAACTTTATGCCTTCCTGTAAGATGAAGATCTACCAAAGCCTTGCTGTCTGCCTTGGACTCTGCTTCTTAGGTTTCTCTAGGCCTTACCACCTTCCCTGCCCCTTTGCTCTCCCGACTCTGAATACAATAATCTGACCTACTGACATAGCCTAAGGACCCTGGTCCCTTGCTGTCTGATTCCTCCTGTCATCTTTAGGACTTTTTGGCCTTTCCATCCACTCTGCAGCCAAACTTTCTTTTCATGTTCTTCTTCCCACAATTAGAGAATGTGAGTTATTTGAGAGCTGAGACTACCTTGCCTTTTTTTTAAACTCATATCCCCAGCACTTAGCACATTACTTAGCATATTGTAAGTGCTTAATAAGTGCTTTTTCATTCATTCATTAACATTTAACCATTTGATCTAAAGCAAAATGCCCTTGAGGAATATATTTTATGAGACAGAAGAAGCCTGGTGCAGTGGAAAACACACTAAATTTGAACTGTTGGATCTAGCTCTGTCGCTCATCATTTGGGAACTCAATTAACTTCTTTGATCCTGTTTTCTCATCTCTAAAATGGGGATAATAACAATTATGCTGCCTATCTCACAAGTTTGTTGGGAAGTTCAAATGACATGTCAGTAAAAATACTTTGCACCCATAAAGTATTATTTAAATGTAAGTGATTATTACCATGGTTTACTCAGAGCTTTAGTGATGGCCATAAAAAATGAGTCATTAAAAGTCCCTAAGCCATTTTAATAAAGCAACTTCTTTTGACATCCATGTTATTTCTGCAGTCCAAGGAAATAGTACTTTCAGCAGAGTACATGCTATTTGTGGTGGGGTAAGAGAGTGAGGCATCAAGGATGATACCTAGGTTGTATTTCTGATTTGTCCTGATGTAGCTGTGGTGTAAAGAAGCGGTGTTCACTTCTCTGCCCTGACTCCAGCTGATCTTTAGCAAGGTAGCAAGTACGACCAACCTATGACTCCACGGTGCCCCAGCTCTTTCTTAGATACAAAGGACCACATTACATTAGACTGGCCAGGGTGCTAACACAGACTGTGATATCACCAGAACCCAATTGGCGAGCATTACAGCTTTCCTGCCTGGACTTCAGAGTTACTCTAGAAGCCTCAGGGGATACAGAGTCTCTATTGTATATCCTCGTGGTTGAAATTCCCTTATTTAGCTGTTACAAAGTGACACAGACACACAAGTAGACAATGGGTAATACTCTGAGTTATGTTTTGAAAATGTAGTTCTTGTGGAGAGACTAAAAGCTTACTCCCATACCGTTATTTCCTTGACCATACTGTCCTGGGAGAACTAGCATTCTAATTTTCCTCCTAGTCTCTTCCACATCTGTCCACAGCCCCCTCAGCTACTGCTGCTGTCAGATGAAAGTTTGATGAGCTTTTTTTCCATTTCAGTCACCAGGAAAAAAAAAAGCAGACCCTAAGGAAAAGCAGCTTCTCATTTTTATGCTTTCTAGATTGAGGTGCCTGCACATGTCAACTTGCTTTTCTAGGCTTGGCTCCCAGTCACCTCATTTATCTATCTATCTATCTATCTATCTATCTATCTATCTATCTATCTATCTATCTATCTATTCATTCATTTATTTATTTATTTATCTATCTACTTTTTTATTTATTTATTTATTCGTTTATTTTCTGTTTATTTGTATATTCATCCATCCATCCATCTATCTATCCATCTATCTATCTCTCTATCTCTCTATCTATCTATCTCTATCTATCTATCTATCTATCTATCTATCTATCTATCTACCCATCCATTCATTGATTGATTACTTCTTGCCCTTCACTAACTATTAAAGCTGACTGACAAGTAGCATTGTGTTGTGGATAAGCCTTGGATTTGGAGTTGGAAGATGTGGGTTTGGCTCCCACCTCTTCTATTGGATAAGTTTCTTGTCTCAGGGCCTCAGTTTTCTCATCTGTAAATGAGAGGATTGGATTGGATAACCTTTAGTCCAGAGTTCAATCTGTGATGCTGGGCTTCTGCAAAGCAGGTTATCCCTAATTCCAGAATCTGAGGCAGAATTTCTGAGAGGGAATAATAAGGAATGCCTACTCCCCTTCCCTACTTCATTCATCTATCTACCCATTCTATTATCTGATAGCAAATGGGGATAATCAGTGTTTTACAGGGGCAATCTAAGGATTAAATGAGATTATCAGTGCCTCTCAGGACATGCTTTGAGAAGGATAAAGTACTAAAATAAATATAAGGTTGTGTTTTATTTTTTAAATATATTTTTGTTGTTCAGTTGTGTCCAACTCTTTGTGACCCTATTTAGGATTTTCTTGGCAAAGATACAGGAGTGGTTCCTTCTCCAGATCATTTTATAGATGAGGAAACAGGCAAACAAGGTTAAGTGACTTGCCCAGAGTCACACAGCTAGTCAGTGTTTGAGACCAGATCTGACCTTAGGAAGATGAGTCTTCCTGACTCCAGGCTTAGCACTCTAGATGCTGGGCCACCTAACTGCCCCTAATTTTGTTTTTACTTCACTTTTATTTTCTAAAATATCCATTTTCCTTTCCCCTCCCCTTCCTGGCAAGTCATACCTAACTTTGCATATTCTAATGATGCTGATCATCTCAGAATTGGCCATCTCCCTGAGCCACCAGTTATTTTCTCTTAAATCCTACCTAAGTCATATTCAGTGAGAAAGGATAGTGAAGAAGAATACTGAGTTCCTACCCTTTGCCAAGTACTTTAGAGAATACTGATGCTGCCTTGGCCACTGATTTCAGGAATGCTAGACCAAATCACCTTCTTCACCCTGTCCCAAAACACACACACACACACACACACACACACACACACAGTATTACACACACACAAATACACACTCACCAAAGAGGACTAAGTCAATATCAAAATGTAAGCTCATTGACTTTGCTGAAATCTACTAGCCTTGAACACAGATTACAGAAGCAAATCATAGGATCATAGGTCTAGAGTGAGATGGAGCTTCAGAGGTGAGTCCCAGAGAGGTCAGGTGATTTGTCCAAAGTCACATAGGGAGTAAGCATCAGAAGTTGCTGGGTACTTGGGTAGACCCTCTGACTCCAGAGATAGAGCACTGTACCTTTTGTTCTGTAACTAGCTGTCTGATAGGTGGCTAGGCACTTCACTCTTTTAGCCCTCAGTTTCTTCATCTGTAAAATGAGGTGGCTGAACTAGAGAAACTCTCCAATTTTGGTACTCTCAAGAGAGAGAAGAGAATTTTATTTCTGTCAAAAAAAGATAATGAACTCTCCATAAAAACAGCATAACACTGACTATTCTTGTCCCATCTCAAATATTACATCCAACATGACTGGGTGAGCCAGAAAATCACTTAGTGCATTCTTCAAATAGCCATATCATCCAGTAAATGAAGGACACTTTCACTTTGAATCAGGTCACTCATCCCTCATTTCCCCATTTATTTGCTGAATGACTTAAAAGGCATGAGTCATGTTCTGATATACAAACATGCTCATGGTGAGCATATACAATGCACAGAGGAGAAATTGCAGACACAATGTACCCTTTGTTGAATATGACAACATCACTAGGAGCCATGGTTTCTGAGTGTTGTAATAAGGATGGTAATGACAGGGCAGAGAGTAGCAAGGAATCCTACATCACAGTGTGTCAGAAACTGGAATTTTATGGAAAATGCAGGGTGCCTTTAATCAGGTCTAAAGAGCAGACTAATATTGTTTAGTATTTTTTCATTGGATAGGCTGAAACCCAAACTTTCCTTCAGTCTACCATTTAAAATTCCATGTTTAGTTTTTTTTCAATTATACTTCCCTTCCCCAATGATGCCAATATTAAAACTTTATTTTTTAATGAAGATGTTTGCGTTTTCCGTCCAGATTTTCCTAGAGGAGGACACTTTTAATCTTTTTTTTTTCTGAGCTGAATTAATTGATTCAGGTAGATAAGGATTTTACACTGTGGAGACATATTTGCTGCTAAATGATTTGTTGGGATACACATCTGATACCATTATATATTCAATGTCAAGAGTGAAATGGCAGAGAATTGGGCATCATTTTATATTTCCTCAGGAGCCATTTGAATGAAGATTTCAGCTTCCTGGGCAAACTCTTTTAGAGTGTTGAATGGTCTTGACTACATGTACATTTTTTCTAGACTAGTTCAAATCCATCACACTCTTTAAGTTTCTGTACATTGCAGACCCAATTTTGCCAATATTATTACCTTATTTTTTTCCCCTTAGAAAGAGAGGAATCATCTACAAAAAACTCAGTAATTAATGAACATGTTTATAGCCAATGAAATAGATTCTGGGTTATGGGCATTTTATATTGAAAACCTGATTGTAGTTCTCTTTAAATTGTATTTGTAACTTTTTTTTTAAGAGGCAATTGGGGTTAAGTGACTTGCCCAGGGTCACACAGCTAGTAAGTATCAAGCGTTTGGTCTGAGGCCAGATTTGAACCCAGGTCCTCCTGACTTCAAGGCTGGTGCTCTATCCACTGAGCCACCTAGCTGCCCCTTTTATTTGTAACTCTTAAGCTTTTAGGGTGCTGCCTGACAAGTATTGTAATAGGCCAGGCTCCAAAAATGTTTAAACAGACTTTGTCTCAGAATCCATTAATTTGCTGATGTGTTTGAACTTGGTTTTGAGTCTTATAGGAAGGAGAAAGTAAATGCGAATTTATTTTTCACACCATGTGGAAGAAGGGTAGGAGGTGCAGGATTAAGAATAAATGTCTGATCTCTTGATGCCTGCTTTCCTACCCCACTTTCTCCCAGGTTTCTGATGGTCTGCCATGGCAGGATGATGGCAATTGGAACTGAGTGGATGACCTGGGACTATTGGAAACTGGTGTGGCCATTACATTTGAATTTCTGGGCTGTTTGGGCATTATGTTTCCTTTTACTGTTTTCTTTGACTAACAGAGGTTACCTCAAAGACATCTAATTCCCAGGTAAATTGTGGCCTACTTGTTACCAGCCCCATCTCACTTTATGTTTGGTTAAGAAAGGAAGAGGCAGGAGACAGAGTTTTATTCCTTCAGGTTGCTAGCCCAAAGTGGCCAGTACTCACACCACTTATTTCCTGACTATGCCTTTTTGTATTTGTACATATGCCCAAGTTTCTAATAAATGTGAAATATTTCAGCTGCCTACATTCTTCTTTGTATGATTAATGCTAATACAGATAGAAAGGCGGGAAGATATTTTGACCCTTTAAAGAAACAGGAAGTATAATCTTTCTTTCAGAATGAAGTGAGGCATGGTGGAGAAAAGCAGATGTAGCTCATACTTGGATTTCTCATAAAGGAGAGAAACCACAATCACATCTCCTAGACTAATGCAAGCTACCCCAAATAGATGAGCATATCAACAAAAACCATAATTTATGCTCCTAGAAAAAATATAGATAGGCTCATGAGACACACTGGAGCCCAAAAAGAATATGCCTCATGTTAGGGTGATGTTGGAGAATCTTGGGGGCCACTTATTTACATGGAAGCTCAGGATAATACTATACCCCAAATACTTAAAGAAACAAATCCTATTTACATTGTAGGCCTATTTTACATGGGGGCCTATTTACACATTTGGAGCCCTTATCTAGAGCCTCAAGTCGACTTAACATGTTTCTTATTGTTCTTGGATCAAGACTTCAACACCATCAAGCAATTCATCATATATGTACAGAGCAAGGAAATCGAATGGAAGGAGTGAGATGAGGAAAGAAGACATTGGTAAATTGTATTCTTGGGGAAAGCATTGCACTTTAGGAACACACTTTGCAATGTAATAGCCTAATGATTTCAAACTAAGCTTTATGATCATCTTAAACTTTCTTACTCATGAGATGAGCAACATCTCTATGCATTAAACATGTGTTTACAGGAACAGTTTTAATATCAGATAATTTTATTGGGAGGTAGTAATTTTTTGTATCCATAAAGCCATTATCTTTAAGAGATGCATAGCCCCTTTAGGTTTGAAACCACTGAAGGAAATGAATAGTTTTCTTTTGCTTCTCCTTCCTGGTGTTTAATATTAATCTCCTATCTTAGGAGACCATTCCTACTATATATATATATATATATATATATTTACCATCACCTCATTTGGTGATGGAATTTCCATGTTCAGCAGTTTTGGTGATTATTTTATTATAGGTACAAGGAGAAGTGAGTTGACCTCTTCTCCTGTCATACATGATGATGCTATTCAGAAGATATTTCAGATACAGTGACAAAAAGAATTACAAACACAATACTTCTAGCCAATTTTATATTCTACTTTTAATTAGAAAATATTTCCCTCCTTAAAAAGACAAAAACAAAACAGACAAACAAAAAACCTTCTCCTCAGATATCCTTTTCCTTTTTTTCTCTGGAAAAAGAAAAAGAAATAGCGTTTTGTTGCATATTCCTATTGAGCTTGGACAATCTCAAAGAACGGAAGCAATTATTTAAAAAAAAATCTATGTAAGGAACATAAGGAGGCTATCTATACAATGAGAAATCCCAACTCAAAGGCTGGTTAAGCTGATGTTGGAAACTATCTAAAATCGTGAAGCCAACACTGAATATATGACTCAGTTGATTTTGCTGTTATGGTGGTGGAAAAAAACAAACTGAATTTTAGAAATGGCCAATTTGTCATCCACATGGGGAATCAGACACAGACTACATACCCATTCCTAGCATAGTCCTTATCAGTAAATACATGGTTGCTAGGCTAGGCCATTAGACTTCATTGTCTCTGTCAACCACTAGCAGCTGAACTAGAAATGTATGGCCCCTTAACAGGCATTCCTTATAATCTGCTTACAGGTTAAGCACTGATAAGGATCAGATCAATATATCCACTCATTATCCTCCCTTTTAGTCATCTTGGGTTCTCACTCTCCCATTTTGGGCCCCCTGATAACCCTTAGATGTCTTGCATGGCTGACCCTATGCCTGGAATGTATTTCCTCATCTCTTTTGCTTCTTGGAATACTTAGTACTGTTCAAATTTCAGCTCACAAGCTACCTTTTTCATGAGCTACCTTTTACCTCTTAGCTTCCCCCCAAACCCTCCCCCCCAACACGTTCTCTCCCTCGATAGGATATAATCCCCCTGAGGGGGGGAAAATGTTTCTTGTTGCTGGGTTTTTTTTTTTGTTTGTTTGTTTGTTTCTCTAGCAACTAGCACAGAGCGGGAGCTTCATAAATGCTTTTTTGATTGACTGATTACATTGCAGATTTATAATCAAAGAATCAGTCTGTGGATTTCAGACTCTAGTGAAACCATGTAAGGTCTCTGAAAGTCCGTATATAAATTTGAATAACGGCAAACATACCTTCTGTGGACTGAATATATAATGGCTCACACATATAGTAAGAAGGCACTCCTGAGGGGAACAGGGTTGTTTTCCAGCATGTCTGGGCCACTTACTCTATTGCTCATCGGGAAATTTCCAGTATTTTCATTCCCATGAAACTGCACCTGTGCAATGGGTGATTGCATCACAGAGAAGGTGATGGCTGGGGGTGAGGGAGACACACTACTACCTCTCCACACCCCAGAGCATTGTGGGAAAGAGATTGTCACTAGCTAAGACTTGTGTGAGTTTGTTTCCTGTTGTTTTATATTCATTTAATTTCCAATGAAATATTTCACTCTTTCGATGCATGTTTCTTGCTTGCTATGTTATCATGGAGAAAACTTAGTTTAGCTGACCAGTTAACAATAAAACTTGGTGGGAACAAGATAGGTGATTTAACAGCTGAAGTAAGTTATATAATTGAAAATATCTTTACAAACTGAACCCTAATCCATGTGAATTAGGTAGTGTGTGTGTAATAAGTTTTATTGCTATATTTTTAACTGCCATTTTTCAATATGTCCTCACCACCCTCCTAATCTTCTCTTGTCAGATAGAAAAACTATTCAATAAAACTGACTGACAAAATGATTGTGTCTGATAGCCCTTGCAGTGTTCTACCATGGGACTGGGGCAGCAATACTCCAGGGTATTGCTGTTGGTGCCCTCTAAATTACCCACTCTGAAGGAAAGCTCTGTTCTCCTTGCCCTAGTTACAGTTCTGATTACAATTACTATCAGATGTAGGGGCTGCATATATACATACATATGTATGTATATACACATATACATATATATGCACATATATAATGTATTCTTATGTTAAATAAGGGTCATCATAATTAAAGAAAACCACTTTATTATATCATGGAAATTTGTGGGGAACTAATATTACTCCTGTTTTCATTATGCTTTTCAGAATTCTAAACTGGAATCCTGGAATGACTCTGGTAGCCTCAGTAATTCTAAATGACTTACTTTAATTCTTGTTGGCCTTGGGTTTTCCAGCTTATTCTATCTGTGTTGAAAGGAATCATTTACAATGTACTGAACTGAGGCTCTGGGTATTCTTGGTGCCCCCTCCCCACTTCCTTTCTAGTCTACTGTTTCAGTATCACTGGTATAGGGGATAATGAATTGGATGTTTGGAACTAGGAACTGAGTTATAAACCCAAATTTATTCTTTTATTTTATTTAAGGTAATTTTATTCTTTTATCTCTTGGTTGAGAGAAAATTTCTCAGTCTTCTGTGAGAAATTCATCCAATAGCTGCACAGGAGTATGGCAAATTGAAAAGTTATTTCCAACAGACAGGGCAAGAAAATAGAAAACTAAAACCACTTTAAAAAGAAAAAAAAACCAAGAAGACCTTTGGGAACTGAACCACACCAGAAAAGAAGAGGGGAAGCTAAAAATGGAAAGAAAATTCCCACTAAACTGCTTGATCATCTATTCTTTTAAGGCTTTGACTGAAGTTAATACCTAAAGAAACTACACCAGATGACTGGTATTACTGATGCCGGAACTAGTGGCAAAAAAAATTGAGTCATTTCATTGTGTAATTTCTCAATACATGTGTAGAATTGACATTCCAGATGGGGGCATATTCAATGCTGCTGTGTTTCAAAGGGAAACATTGCTTAAAGTTACTGAAAACTGACTATTAAGTAAATAAGGGCTGCTGATGCAAAGACACATGTTAATCATTCCCCCCATTAGTGGCAGACTCCAGGCAGTGCTCTTAAGGAATCTTTCTTTCCCTTCTACTAGAGTTGTGAGGAAATAATAGTAATGATGATGATAATGATAATAATAATAAATGTCCTAGATTAAGTTCTTTTCAAAATTAACATTTTCAGATTGTTGCAGTTGTTGGAGTTATGTTCTATAATTATATTCAACATTTGGCTTATTAAATACTTTGCTCAGTAGGATTCTTTAAATCAGTTGGGTTAAGATCACATGGTATCACTTTCAGATAAAATATGGATGATGGAAAAGTGAGCAACATAATTAGGCTTCATGGAGTGTTGTCTTTTAATTTCTTCAAATGGAGAATTATAGCATCATTCATAATCATTTTGAAAATGAGAAAGAATGCCCAGATTTCTTTAAAGACTTTAGGGTTAAAAGTTTTGAAATTAGATTTGGTTTTACTAGAATATAGTTGGGTTCTTCTTCTAGATTTCAATATATGAAGCAGAAATCTCCAGGGAAATGACCTAATGGCAAAAGCTGAAAATGATAGGGTAGTTATTGGTATTTTAATTTCCAGTTATGGGCAAAATGAAGAAGTTGGTGAGAACCCTCGGGAATAAGAAATTCTTATTTAAAAATTACCTTCATTTCATTAGCTTTGGCAGTGGAACAAAAGGCCAGGTGTGTTACACACCCACCTTTCAGACTCCTTCCCAGAGATCTATTGAGTGAAGAGATAAGAATGAAATTCAATTACCGGCAAAGAACCCACATTTTCTTGTATTTCCCTTTCAGTTGTTATGCAAAAAAGAGAAAAGACTCAGTAACCTTAGGCTCGGGAAGGCAATTAGCAACTTTCACAGAGAGCCCATCTGGCCTCCATCTACTTTTTTCACATCCATATTAATTCCTTTGGAAGGTTTCACCTTTTGAAGGCCATCATTCATTCAGAAATCTGAGTTCTACTGGATGCAACATTCCAGCCCCTGACCTAGCTCCTTTAAAAGGCTCTCTCACCATTATACACTCTCCTTATCCCTCCTCCTCCCCACCCCTTCTGTTGCTATGCATTGTTGCTAACTTGGGTTCT